TTAAAATTATAATCTTTGAAAATTTTCAAATAAGTCCAAAAAGTTTTTTCATCAGAAGCCGTTGGTCTACAAGAAAGAAACGCATTCAATACCCCAATAAAATTCGAATAAACATATGGTTCAGGTTTACATGCACAGCCGTAAAACATTTATATGTTTAAGTCTGCAAGCATGAGAGCGCTGCAAGTCTTCATTCAAATCTGGTAAGACTGGCATGGCCGACGCCATTTTGTAGCCTTCTGCCCCTCTATCTCCTCCCTCAGATTTAATCTTCGCCACTTGTATCGGCGTAATCCTTTATTCCCGCATAACAATTACAAAGAGACCATGGAAACCCCCCAGTACCTGAACAATCCAAGCGTCTGTGGTTAGAACCTGATTTTTTATGTCCTGAAATGAAAAGGAATGGATGAAATAGGAACAAATTATTCCTTGATCATGATCTTCTATTTCATGTCTCATTTGTGACGAGGTGGACATGGAGTTAATTAAATTTGCCGGGAATATTTTAAGTTTTTGACCGAAATTGAGATATATTTTCCATGACTTATCATTTCCACTTCCCGCTGTAAAAATCAGACAACTTCTTGGTTTTTTTTTTTGTCATCCATGAAGCTGGTCTTTAGGCTGTTCATAATTTTCTTTCTTTCAGATTATCAGGCCAAAGAAGGCCTTCTTGGGGATGTCTCGAAAAATGACTTACGTTCGGGATTATGCATAGATGATATCAACCCCCTAAACCTTAATATCAGTGTGAATATTCTCCATACTGTTCTTTATAATTTCCTAAGGTGCTGACAAGGAGAATTTGTTAAACAGTCAAGAGTTTCTTTGGTTGGCGATGATTTATTTTATGGCAGCCACTCTAAGGGTCATAGGTTGAAGAAAATCGGCATTTTCCAGGGCCAGATTTTGAAACCTTTTTCGCTGTCCTCTCATTTCTTGATTAACGCGCAGAGTATAGCTCAATTGGTTAGTGCGCCGGACTGTGTTGTGCGGGAGGTCGAGGGTTCGAGCCCCGGCCGGACCAATACTCATGGTCTTAAAATAACTGAGGAGAATTTGCTACCTTTCTATAATATCAAGAAATAGATAGATATTCTAGTCTTCTCGGATAAGGACAAATGAACCGTAGGCCCCGTCTCCTGCAGGGTTAGGGGTAGGAGACGTTAATTTCCCACGCACGAGACTACTGTGGGGTGGATGTCCTCCCCTGGGTGGGATGGATGGATGTTGGCCCTGAAAAGCCCCTATGGGGAGTGGTCAATTAACCTATGTATGTATGTAACGACAATTGCAAAATGGACGTCAAGATAACAATTGGTCTTCGCAAAGCGAAGGAACTCCCTTACCAGAGCAACGATCCTGCTAAGGCGGAAAGAAAAAGTGATATTGATGATGTCATTGGGCATGAGGAGGGGCCGCACGGCAGGCTGGTAGTCCTTTGTTAGGTTGTGACGTAATCTTTGCTCAGGGGTACCAAGAGTTGCAGTCACGCAATCTGTGTATATTGAAAAAGATTTTAAATTGCGATCAGTGAATTTGTGTCAGTGAGCCAAGCATATAAATCTCGTTTCATTGTATCAATGATAATCTTCGAGATCGTCTTTTTTATGCGCCTCCCGGTTAGCTCATGTTATAGAGCGCCAGAGGACCGTGAAGGAGGTCGATGGTTCAAGCCCCAGACCGGACCAACACTCAAGATCTTAAAATAATTGAGGAGAATGTGCTGCCTTCAGTTTGCTATGACATATGCAAATGGATAGACATTCTAGTCTTCTCGGATAAGGACGTAGGCTCCGTCTTCTGCATCTTCTCTGTACTGGTTAGCAGGGGACGTTAAATGACCCACACACTTATCGCAAAGATCAGCGTAGCTTCTGGTGTTTTGGTCTGGAGGCATCTGCAAAATTTCCTTCAAAAATTGTAAACTGCTTAATGAAGTCTGGCCAAAGTGCCCCGCAAAGTGTTGTAGATTTAAATCGGAAGAGCCATAGGGGAGATTTAACACCGATTTTGTATTGTATTGTTTATCAGTCATTGAAAACAGACCTATTGTTTCGTAGCTTTGGATTAGAGATTAGACTAGATGCTCACCACAGTAGGGTAGGGAAGAAATGCTTCATCTCATACGTAATAATCATCCATAAATCCAATCTACGTAAAATTTGTTCTCTTTAATTAAGTGAAGGTGTTTGAGTCACGTTCGATGGCAGCCTGTGGCTCTGAACGTGACCGCAAGTCATTAGTCAGGTAACCATTTATCCCGCCTTCAAAATAATCACGATACTGGCCCGCAAGGAAAATAATACTTTTTTTTTTTAAACTAGAGAGAGCTAGAGAGCTAAAACTAAGACACGCCATAAGATGAACAGGTGATACCAGACATGCACAGTTCGTGGTGATTATCCCTTTCATTCACGCGGATGAAAATTGACTTCTGCATTTTAAAAGTGTTGAGTAGCATTTCCTTATTTTCTTGACACGACATGTAAATTAAGGACGCATTATGGTTGTTTTGTTACAGTGCATAAGTTATACACTTCATTAATCACACATTAACCAGAACTTACAAGTTACACAGGAAATACAACTAAAAAGAGAGAGCATAGTCTGAAAAAAAACTCTTTTTAAAAGGAGAAGCAACTACGTACAGAATGAAGACCCAATGAAGATTTTGCACTTGACCGGAAATACGTCGAACGAAAGTCACACGATCAACATAACTTGACGTGTTTTGTTGATAACTTGTTTTGACCCTATAATTCATTCATTCGATCCAAACACCAAGGGAGTTAGTTTATCTTATGCCTCCGGACAAAAATGGCATCATCAGGGACAAAAATCATGGCAAAGCGGAGTGAAATTAGACATGTTGTTCAACTAGGCAAAGATGATTTCGACGAAAGTAAAGTTTCCTCTACAATTGAAACTTTGGAAGCTGGACTCGATGATATAGTAAGCGAAGTCCGAGAGTTACATCACGACATGGACGACATTGAGACGGAAATTGAAAATTTGAAGAAAAGAATGCTCGAGTGTAACAAGCTGGCAGAAAAAACTAAATAATGAGGGTAGGAAGATTATCACAGATACGATGGTGACTTTGTTCGTGTGGAAACCACGAAGATACAGGATTCAAGAGCTGATCTTGACAATATTGAAAATAATAAGGTTGTGGTGAATTTTAAAAGCCCTTGTACGGCGGCAGGGAGACTCGTCGGGAATTCATTTATCAAAGCACAAAAACACATCAGAAGATAAGCGAAGAATGCAATAAGTAAAGCAGTTTTGAGAGTTCAAAGAGTAAATTTGTACGCGAAAGATGCTCCATTTTTCTTTTTTTTTTCTTTCTGGCGTATTATCTTTTAATTAAATAATATTGTGAAATACGTCGGTGATAATCAGTGAGATATCAAGAGAAATGCCTTTAACAATATACTGTTTTTTTTTAAAAAGGTCCTTGGAGAGGTGATGAAATAACTCGGATACATCATGAACCCAGAAACACATTAGCGTTCCGATGAATATTTTTAAATCGTGGAGAATATGTACAGTATGTTTTGAAATCATAGTACTTGAGATGTAGAAATTTACGTTGGATACAAGTCTTAGCTTGTAGGGTATTTTCCTGTTTGGATAGCTAATTTTAGTAAAAATAGAAATTTATGACGCAATTTTAGATTGAAGAGTATCCACTATGGACCGCCTGAAGGTCTTGTTGTCAAAAAGTTGCGAGTCTATTTTTAAAACATGAAAAAATTTGCCGTTAATCTGAAAATCTGTATAAACATTACATCACGGAAGCTCTTGCAGAGAGCTCTCTTGAAAGATTGGATTATCAGGTTCACAATGACGTGATCTTAACCTCTGCAAAAGTGTAGATTTAGTCGAATTTGTAACAGCTGATTTCCATCTCTAAAATTCAGGACGCCAAGTCATTTTTAAACTAATGTCGTCTACAAAATATCTGGCAAATACTACTACTGAAGCGATATCGTAGAAACAGGTAAATGTCTCAGTACTCGAAAAAGAGAACTCATCGAAAATGTTAGAAAAAAGGGATTTAAAATTTCCAATCATTCTTGGATAAACAATCACGCTAACGAAAGTATCGGTGATTGCCGTGGAAGAAACACTCTGGAGTGATGGCACGCTGCCATGACTAGAGCAGACAATTTAATTAATTTGATACTTCGACCATTACCCATTAGCAATATTCAATAACTACTGTCTATTATTCTTGTTTTCTTCACCAGCGTTGCACGTTATTTTATTTTTTTTCACACGTGGCTTATTTTTCATATTTCATTTTCCTAACCATTTATCAAAGGCTACAGCCCGGCAGCCGAGGGTCTAACGTTTCAGAATATTTTACCAGAGAACAATGTTAGTATTTTATCATATCTAAATCTTTTTATTCGTACATTTTTATTATGTGGATTTTCAAGAGAATTCTTTCAAGAAGGTGATACCGATAATAAAGAGGCTTAACTAGCGAACTATAACCGGTGCATGTACAATTTTCCCGACTCGCTCTCTTATGTTCAAATTGAATCAAACAAATACCACAAGCTTAAAATCAGTCATGAATTGCCTGCATTGCAGAATAGTATTTTAAGGAAGCCAAAATAAAATTCAAAAGAAAAACAGGTGATAAATCTATATAATTTCAATATAATGTTGGTCTTGCATTATTTATCTTTTGTCCTGCTCTTAGTCAGCTTCATGTAACGAGTGTATTTTAAGTCAGTGGTCAGATTATAAAGTATAAATTGTTTTTACCCGTACCGAATGTGACTTTATCAGTTTGAACTCGCAGCACAAACAGAATATAGTCGATCATAACTAAGTAATAATGATAATAGTTATGGAATAATGATAATTATGATGATATCAATAATGATGATGCCGATGATGGTAATAATAATAATAATAATGATAATAATAATAATAATAATAGTAATAATGATAATAATGAATAATAATAAAGATAGTAATAATAATAATAATAATATTTATAATAATAATGATAATAATAACAAACTAAATGATAATGGCATAATTATGATAATTATAATGATTATGACAATAAGACGAAGCTGTTTTTAGAGCGGGAAACACTTGATATTTGATAGAGACACTGAATAACCCGTAGCCCTCAGTTCACTCTCAGAAAGCATCTACGAAAAATACATCACTAAAATAAGTACCAGAATTAAAAATAACGTATTTATGTTGATGTTTTTTATCCGTGATGAATTTATAAGAAGAGAATGTTTTAGATCCATCATGCAGGGTCCATTCATGTTTTTACTTGGTTTTTTCTTTTCCGATTCTTTGTTGTTCACAGCATGTTCTCGTTAAGGTTTGGAATGCTTTGGTTCTAAGAGGTGCATAAATAAAGATTGATCGATTTGAATTTGAGATAATGAATAAAAACACCTATTCAAAAAGCTTCTAATTAGTCACTATTACTTCGCCACCTCGGCGGAAGAATACGTTGATGCAATTAAGGGTCTTTTCTCTCGACCGTTCTGCGTCGAAAAATTGTCGTAATTATAGGTAACACCTGGTTGTCTGTGGGATAATTGAAATAAAAGATTAACTATCCTGAGTAAAGCTAGATGTCTTCAAAATGAAAGCAAATCCGCGTTGAATAAAGCTTTTTCCCGCAGAGAAAGTATTTCGTTTTAATTAATCACACTTGGCGAGGAGTCATTGATTGAAACTAAAGTGCTGCATTAGTGAGTGAGTATGGTGCTATTAAGGTTTTCTGGCATTAATTAATTAATTACTATCATCTTAAAGTAATCATTAAATATGAAAATGTCTAATTTCCGTGGTAATGAGGAATTCGCTCTATTATAGCGCACGATTAATAATATTCTTAAGTCATAACGTCCTATGATCTATATACAATCATTGCATGGGTTTTGTTTCGATGTGTTCAACAAAAACAGAATCGTGGAGTTCGAAATCGCAGATTTTTCCATTTTAAATCTTCATCGTTTCTTTTAACCCACGTGTCAGACATGTCATGCACTGAGATAAAGAAGCATAATACATAAATAAAGCATAATAATTAAAGAGCACTTTTGGTTTGATTTATGTTGAATTTTTTCAAATGACCTTCAGATGCACGTATCTAAGCACGCTTGAACAAATTAATTTTGTACACACGAATATCGTTTAGCAGCAATAATCTTATCAGGTACTTTTTGCCGTTGAGGCCAAAGAAAAATTTTTTAGCTGTGTTTCTATTTAGCTCAAAAGCTAGTTGCCATTTCATTGTAATGGTCTATAAGAAATGTCAAGAGAATTTGTAACAAAATAACGTGATGTTATTGTTGTTATCAAGTGTAAACTAGCTAAGAACAACGAAAGCGCCCCCAACCCTGGTAGTAATATTTATCAGCAAACATCTACACTGTCTCCGAAGATTTTTTATCAGTTTACGTGTAGTTTGTTCTTTGATTGCTGCTTTGACTAAATACTGAATGAACTGACCTTCTCGAAAACACTTTCATTTTCGTCCAGAATCAGCGCGACTGGAGATAACAGAAAATGATCGAAAGTTCTTTGCTGAACGTTTACGGCATTTTATGGACTATTCTGTTTTTTCACCGTAGTACTACTGATTCATAGAAGAACGGTTTCGTAAACACGGTTCTCAGCGTTGGAAAATATGCAGACAAAATAAGTGCTTCAGTCATAAAACTTTGCGAATGCACTCCCCATAGACGTACCTTTCTTTGAAATCAAAATAGCAGATATGATCCAACGTAATATCAAAACTCCTGCAGACATTATATTAGTTTAAGAAGGACGTTTTGCTTTCTATACCCAAAGGAAACTCTATCAACGCTGCCGCCAGGCTTGATGAATTAATGCTGTCTTTCTGAAAATAGTGTTTACGTGTTGCACTAGCGCCACCTGGGATTATTATGGTCTTGTCTCTTTCGCAATAATAATTAATTTTAATTCCCGTGGCTCAGTATCCCGGAGCTGGCAACGGCAATAGATTGAATGCTCATCTATAAATGCAGTCAGAAAATTTTAGAGAATTTCCACTCAAAAGGTTAAATGAAACTTCTTAAGGGCATTGGGTTTCTTAAGAAATACCCAGAAATTCCAAAAGTTATTTTAATATTTTCAGTGGATGAGTTTCCAGGCTTGTACACACTGTAGAATTGTTTGGTTGTCGACACTCAGTTACACTTGTAAACCGATTACCGGGCTCTGTTTCAAAAATACTAAAAGCCCGGCAGTCAGAAATACCTTCAAAAAAAATTTCGATAGTTTTTTTAAGTGGACGAATACTGCGAGCCTCAACATATGATAATTCAAATCGCCAGGTTTTAGCCACAGCCTAATTTAATTTCACAGCAAGCCACCAGTATACATTCTTTTCAATTTGAATAAAACTCAACTGTTCAGCTGTGTTTACCAAAAGGAAAGAAAAATAAAACCTAAAAAAAAATATATAATAAGACTGAAATGTAAGATTGCATATAAGACTGCAAATTTGGCGCAAAAGCGGATCAAGACGGAAAAATTGAGCACTTTGAAATTAAGGCGAATTTCTACTAAATTATAAAAAATCATTGTTGACAATTTTCCAGACAGTTTTTCTTGGCAAGGGTTCCTTGATTAATTTCCTCGATATTTCGGAAAAAAACTTTTTAACGCCTTCCTGAAATAAAGAAAACTAAGACAACGTACTTTTTCCTACAAAGTCCCGTTTTCCTCTCCAGTCAATAAACTTAACGCTAACAGTTGAGCATTTAGACCAGCCAAGGTAAAATTTAATTAATAACGAAATTTTCTGGTGCAAATAACTAGTTAGGGAAGTAAACGGGGAGTTTGCAATGAGTTCAAAGTGTTGGGAGAAAATTTCAGTGCTCAAATAGTCTAAGCAAGCTTCCCTCAACAAATTTTTATCCCCAGTGTACATATCACTCAATTTTTTTTCTGTAAACTTCCTCTTACAAAACCTTCTCTGGTAAATCCCATGCTCACGCATATGCCGACGGACCCTTAAGTCTTGGGTGATTTTTGGCTTTGCAAAACAGTGTTCTCTAAGTTAGTTAGATGAAAATGTAACAAAGTCATTAGGTATTTCAAAAGTAATCCCCATCGCTTCTCAGATATTTTCCACGACAGTTTACACGTAACTGTTTGTTATTTTGTGGCCAAACATCAATTTCATATGTTGGAAAGCTATGACTTCCGCTCAAGGCCGCATGTTTTTCTTTCATTTTATGTTTATATGTGGTTAGCAAAATAAGATAATATTGCCTAGCTTTCACGAATGTAACTTTGTCCAATTCTCTCTATAAGCGACTTGCAAATGTATGTTTTTGCAACCTGTTTTCTTTGGACATTTTTTAATAAACACGATATCTTTCTTTTTTTCGGTTCGGTTTTCGTTCTTCCATAACTAATTATTGAGAATTTAAAAATTCTCGCTTTAATAATATAAATTCATAACTTCATTTAACAAAGCACAAGTAAGGAACCATTACCTACTTCTGGTTTATGATGTGAGTTTGTTGTTGTGAAGACTGTAAGTTAGATAACACATTGGGTTAATTACGTCACCTTCGTTAAAATTGTATTGTATTGTATGCCGCCAACTGGCTTAGATGCAATTGAAAATCTTCTGGGGGACAGTTTTATCATTTTTTTTTTTCTCATACGATTTAATGAAAAAAGAAGAGAAAAGAATCAAACCGTGACAGAAAACCCTTCTTGATTCTTGTCATAAAATTTGTCAGAAAAGTTACCGGTAACTCTCGAATTTTCATTTTCGAACAAACACCAAAACCGAAAGAAAAAGGCATTTCCGCCATAAACCTATCCCAATGGAGCCCTTTGAATTCATTTTGCTCTCTTTTGTCCTCCTTACATATGCATAGAGTAAAAGACTGGACCTTAATCTTACTCAGGCTCTCGCGGTATGTCCTAAAAACTGTGCTCTGTCACGTCACGCAATTGTAAACCAGATGTCAAATTTACATTTTCATGTTGACAATCTTGGTCTGCTCTTTCAGTCGTTTGCGTTCCAGCCTTTCTTTCTTCAACCGTCCAACGCGATATATTTTATGTTACTTCAGTACAGACATAAGCAATAAAAAGAGAAGAAAAGACCCCTTGTGGTTTGGAGTTTCACAACACTTGAAGTTCACGATTGCACAATCCTCAGCAGACTTGATCCGGGCAGAAATTTTCTCGCCAGTGGGTTCACTTTCTCCGTGTCTTAGTCGCAGACGGTTGTTGCTTCTATATAGGTAAGTGCATTGTAAATCAATCAGCTATCATCAAGGTTTTCTCTTCTGTATCTTATAGGTTAGGGAATTTTATGGAAAACACTGTACATTGTAAAATAATTTTAATGCATTGCGAAATAACCAAGCCAAGATATGACTCGGTCGCGCTTGCGGCGATACTAAGGTGTTTCCTTATCGCTTCGCTGAACTCAATTTAGTTTCGATCGATGAGATAGATCTCAGGTCATTTGTTTTCATGTTACTATCGTCATTATTTGAACGAACGTTGTAGCTGCGTGCTAGAGAAGTACGTATAAAATTGTGCACAGAACTCAAAATTCTGGATCTCTATTGTGATTTTGCAATGATCTTGGACCCGTGGGCCTTTCTTTCTACATTATAAATTTTGCTCAACGAGTTTTTTAATCACACCATGAAACTTGAAGGAAAGATAAGGTTTCCGCCGGGCAAGATTGAAGATAGATAGTGCATTGGCTTTCCTGTTCGTCCGTGCGGCCGGAACAGATTTGCTCGTGGCAGGGGGGGGCCTTTGCAATTGTAACCTTCTCCAATCTACGTAATTATACATTCTTTTGTACTCTTGGATTGTTTTCGTCCTGTGTTCAGTACACTTTTTGATGTAGTCTATGACGAACATTCTATACATTTTCGAGCATTTATTTTTTACTTTGTTTTCAATTATAATAGTAATAGTAAACTGTACACGAAGAGATCAATTGTAGCATATATTGGCTTTTGGATTGGCAAAGTTTGGCAAAGAAGAACCACGTAAGTTACATAGAAGCGACTGCGTACAAGAGTCTTACTTTATGTACGGTAAATTTGAGAAGGAAAATGCGGGAATATGATCGGTGACCGCTTGTATAGGGGGGCCGTGCACAAGACGATTGACTATATTTACTTGCATGAACAAACGGAACCATGGGCGCTTTCTATTCAACAAAAATCATCGGTTCAAAATCTCGGAACTTTAGCTGGCCGAATGGAACGCGTCCTTTTCGAAAATTCGGGAAATTCCATAACAGAGGGTGCACTCAAAACTTATTCCTACATTTTCGAAAAATTTTCCCAGAAGTTTTACCGTTCCATTCAATTTCGGACCGGAATTTTCGGAATTTTTGGTCCAATGGAAAGCGCCCCGTATTCCTAAATTTTTGAAAACTTATCCCGGAACTTCTCCAATCTAAGCTGTATTTGCGCCATCCTGAATAATCATTGCCTCTTTTATCATCTTGTCCTGCTGACAGTTTGCATTTACCTATTTATTTAATTTGCTGGAAAAAAATATTCTGTGACGTGCGTGACGATATTGCATTGTCTTACCGTCCGATCAGATTTCAGTATTTACACGTGCGCGCCAACTTGTTTTGTCTCTCTCTGGTTTTCCTCGCCATGGCCGCTTGTAAGTTGTTTGTGAGTTCACAATGTTCTAATTAAACGAGTTGAAGTTTGAGAACGTGAGCCAATTCTTTATAACGTGTTGTTTCAAAGAGAGCAGAATGTTCTGGTATCCTATTTTTAGCCTGCGGGCTTTCTCCTTATTTTCTGCACCAACATCTTTAGGATGCCGTCAGAGCGTTTAATTTTCAATTAGAACTGGTGAATAATGTGATTTAGTGTAATTTCAGAGCTGAGCAAAGAGTTTCCAGCAATCTGATTGGTCGAGCCGTTCCTTATATGACGCTACATAAACCGCTCCACGCGGTTCATATAAAATGTTAAAATAAAATGTTAATAAATGTTGCTAAAATGTTATAATTTTAGAAATTTCTCTGTTGTTCAGCTCTGAAGTTACACTAAAACAATTATTCGCCTCAGGTTCGGTGAATATTGTTGAATAATCCACTCGATTTCGTCTCGGGGATTATTGGACGATATTCACCTTGCCTTCGGCGAATAATTGTTAAGTAGCCTTTGAGTAAGCCCTCATTTTTATTAGCGCTTTAGCACTATGAATCTATGTGACCTTGAGGAATGGTTGTGACTTAAATGGTGATCAGGTTTACGAGTAAAAATTGGAACCTATCATTATTTTTCGGTAAATAGGTTCCAGTCCTTACTCGAGAACAACTGTGAAATGTGTAGCAGGCAACCGTGGACGATACTCGTACTCTTGTACGTTGGGTCAGCGGTGATCTGATCGGCCCAAAATAACGAATATGAAAAAACGTAGACAAGTAAATTTTAAGACGGAGCACTATATTTCGGCTGGCAAAACCAGCCTTCTTCAGGTGCAGTGGGAATTAACAGAGAATTGGGGTGATGCTTCATAGATAGCTGTATGATGTAAAGCGGAAATATGTAAAACTAATTTGATTGACAATGAGATAACAATAAAAATAGAAATAGTGAGCAAAAATAGAAATGAAGTAAGGTAAATTGGATAAATAACTTC